TGACGCCAGCCAACACCGGAAGCGCTTCGATGACAATTTTGCCAAATATCCAATAACTAAACTTGACGGCTTATTTTTACGAAGGAAAAGCGCTGTTGATACGTGAATGCAAATTTTCCATCGCCTCTCTGGCATAAGACTGGATTGCTTATCCAAACAGCTTTCGCCTCAGGATCGAAAACCTCCGTGCCGGAAATAATTAGCTGGTTGCCTGAACAGAAACGATAACACGATGAAAAAGCAAAGCGATCGCTGCTTCTGACCATAAGGTGGATTATCGCCTGGTTTAATGAGGTGCGGCCATCGTTTATCCTCAACCTTACGCATCAGGTACCACTCCAGCTGGTCAGCCGATCCAAGCTCGTTGTTCTTCCATAAGCACAGACGCGGGTTCTCAAAATCGCAATTCAGTTCCTGTGCTCGGGTGATGTACCGATCCGAAAATCCTTAATCTGAGCTTCTCAAGATCAAGAAAAACTTATGCCGCCGTACCTGTGTTGTATAGGGCGTTCATCACCGGCTCCAGGCCAAGGAATTTTCGTAGCCGATCCACAGCATCTTTTTTCCCAGGAGTACAACATTGCCCTAATATATTAATACATGATAAATGCAAATCAGATGGCATCGCGACAGTGCACATAAGCTGTTCGCATATGCAGAACGTCTCTGATTTTTGGTATCCACTATATCCGTAACATTTCCACATTTCAGTTATAAGGCAGCGGGTGCTGCATATGAAAAAAAAAAGCTATGCCAATGAACGCATATCTGTCTTTACCTTCGACATCTATGTGCAACGATGACTTGGTGAGCGATTGCCAAGTTCCGCTTCTCTGATCAGAAGTCATAGGCTACAGTAAACTAAACCAATCAATTTGTGTCAGCTTTTCTAACTGGGTCAGCCAAAACTTTTCATTGAAGAAACCTGTGCCCAGAAGAGAAGATAGTTATTTATTGCACTTTGTTATCATCTAACCATCCCTCTGAGTGAAAGTCTCAAGTGTTCTAGAAGTTCAGTCAAGGTTCTCGTCCGTTTCTTAGGAAAATGGTCACCATACTCTACAGCAGCATAACAACCGCTTAGGAAAGATAAGGCAAGTTTTCAATGAAAGTGTTACTCCGTTCTCAGGGAAAATATTTGGGCAGGTTACCATATTCACTGAAAACAAACGCCACCTTCCTATATAACTATGATCGCCACAATGCTCTTCCTGAAGATGGTGGATGAGTGACATTTAGCGTAGTCAGCCTCTTCTACAGTTTCAATTCCATGCTCCACTTTAGAGCAGCTGTTCCGGATGGGTTCATAATAACGTTCCACTTTAGGCGTTGCGGAAGAAGTTGATTTCGCAACTGTCTTTCTCAGAGAGCCCTGGGTAGAAGGATCTAGTTCTGAGTAGTACTCATAAGACATAGGTTCTGCACACTCTATGCCAAATGTAACCACCCTACGGTTTTCCTCACTTTTGGACGCCATGTCGAGTCAAATTTTGCGTTTGAGTGTAGTAAAGTAACCGAATCGTGTGCATTGCATAATAATCCTTAGAAGAGTGAAAAATGGGGCAAAGTAAGGCTCACCGCTAGGGAACTTGCCTGAATTTAGCAAGTCTGCCGTAAACCGTCTGTCTCAACCGCACCTCAATGATCGAAGCGAATAATTTTCCGATAGTTCACAATAGTGTGATAGCAAGATAATCGGAATAGAACACTCGCCCACCTCTAGTCGACTAGCTACAGTTTTATACCAAAGTTCCATGACTGCAACTATGCCATTGCGTCTTTGTCACTCAAAAGGCTGGCTAATTCCGTCTCAGCTAAAAGCAAGAACGCAGTGCAACTATGTCGTATCAATCCTAGCACTCAGCGGCAGCTTATAATGCATACCTGCGTTATCAAGAAACTACAGCCATGCAAATAAACATTGATTACATTTTTAGTACATGTGGTCCCTTCCAGTAAAATATTACATGACAAATTTTGCTTATCCGATTATCTGCGAAAACCGTAATGAGATTTATGTCAATAAAACAACTTCACTACTTTGAGTAACGAATAATGAACAGCAAAATGCCATTGCAGGAATGTAGCCGATTCCATGGCATTGATAATAATTTCAGCATCAAACAAGTGAGAAATTTTTTGAAATTATTAAACAGTTCATGCACAGTGCACTGAACAGAAGTAAGATATACAATCTGTCCGGCGATTTATCTTCATCTTCATCTTTCGGTTCGCGGAGGCAGACGCGTCAGGCAGAGCCTCCAACGTTCCCGATCCTGTGCCAGAGTCTGAGCTTCGGCAAAAGACAAATGCAGTCTGGAATAGACTTCTTCCATATATTTGTAGAAACACTTTACCTACCTTTTCAATTGCTGATATTATGCTGTCTGTTAAATCTGAGTCATCGTTTCGATTAATTCGTTACTGAGTTTATCATTCTTGAACCAGGAAATATGCAGAACGATGGAGGAAATCACAAAATGTTTGCTTTGTCTCCACAAGCATTGCAGTGCTACATTAGCCCTCTCACCCGCTTTATTGAACCGCAAAACCAAAAGAAAGATGGGTTTCCCAATACAACCTGTTTCGGCATCAACACAAGGGAATACTTACATTTCATTGCACCACGGAGCGGCCATTTTTCCTTAAAACGTCTATCTTAATGGCAAATGGATTCAGGGAACAGTTTTAAAGCATATATACTTTTCTAATCACAGATTCTTGACCAGTATGATTCCTTTCCCATCATAAAATGAATCAATCAATCAATGTACTTACCAACAATCGGTATAATCATTAAACTTATTTGACGTGCCCCATTTACATCGAACTGCGTCATCTGGTTAGTACTGCATTGTTTGCTGTTGTACTTTTTTGAATACTTGTTGTGCTTTTTAACCTAGCCATAGCCTTTGACCGAATCCCATGTCGGAATCTCTGGATGTGCCTACGAATATATGAGATAGATGATCAGCTGCTACGGGCCGTCCAATCACCATACGCTGAGAGGACATGCTGCGTCAGAGTAAATGGCGTGAAGTTCGATACCCTTCAACGTTGGCACTGGTCTCTGCCAAGACTGCGTCCTGTCCCCTATCCTGTTTGTGTTGTACATGGATAGAATAATCAGGCGCTGCAAAGGTGATGAGGGTATCAGTGGAGGAGATGTTAAGTCGAGAAGGTTGCTGTTTGCAGACGACCTTGTTTTATTAGCATCATCTGAAACTGATCTCCTGTGCTCCTTAGAAAGGTTCGCAGCCGAGTGCGACGTGACCGGCATGGGTGTGAACGCATCTAAAACGATAAGCCTAATACTTTCTCGTTGTTCCTCACGTTGCTCTCTTCAGATTTATTGTCGAGGCATCGGAGCAGGTGGAGATATTCGAACACCTCACACTGTAACCGGCAATTTTGATGTTCTGAATTACCCATCCCGAAGAATCTCTTTGACTAAAGCAGAGCTGAATCTGAAGTTTAAGCTTTCCCTGCTCAAGTTGGCATTAGTCCCATGTTCACC